CAAGAATGTTGGGCATAGACAGTGTGAACCCCTCAGTAAAGAATGTTGGGCATGGACAGTGTGAAAAAGGTATAATTCTTCAGTTAAGAACCAGAATAATGGTTATGAATGCATGGTTTAGGTACACCCTCTTAGTCTTGTACAGTTTATTAAATCAAAGTGCCAGGCCAGCAACACTAAATCTGGCCATATCTCAAGTTTGACTGTACAACCTTCTATATAGTAGTTAGGTGTAAGACTGATTAGATCTACCGTAAGGATTAGTCTGCTAGCCTACTCATTACATAGTTGTAGGTAGATTTTAGTGACAATTTCCCCATTGGACGTTACTAAACGTGGCCACACATTGCAAGAGATTTAGCCAAGGTTGATACCCAAGCAGATGCAACTACATATTTTTCCATGCATCCACATGAGCTGCTTTAGAGCAGCCCATTAATTTCAACTTGCTGCCCTGCACACTTATTCACAAAGAATTGCATGCAGCTAAGTCCATCACCCTAAAACATACAGGGGAATTTACCAAGACTTGAGCAGCTGTACAAGGCAACCAATCAGCTTCTACTCAGTCATTTTAAAGCATAACTAAAACAAGCTGATTGATACTATACACAACTGCTCCAGTTTTAGTAAATTCCCTCCACCCCACTTTGTTACCATGACTTGTGGTGCCAAGAAGACAATGGCATGCACGACATATACACAAGGATGATATGCATTTCGTGTGTGGTGTAGGAATAGACATGCAATTTTGTATACGCCCTGCCCCCCACCCCAAGATGTGAAGGGGGGGGGGGGTGTTCTAATCCACAAAGTGACATCTGTTTTATGCAGACAGTGTCCACCAGAACAGAAATAGTATTCCGGATTGGTGACCTAAATTTCTTCCAATGAAGAGTCATCGGATAGATATATCTAGATAGATATTACACATACACTTGAATAGTGGCCAGTTAACTAGTCCTATGCATGGATCACAAATTAAGTCTGGCTTTGTATCTCCCTGAATTCTCCCCCTCTGCATTTGCATTCCTGTAGTGGGAGGGAAGACCACCTTTCATTGATTAACATACCTGAACCCCTGCTGAGACCTAGGTTGAAAGGCAAATGGCTCAGTACAACAACAAATGGAGCAATACAAAGACTTGTGCCACAAAATAAAACTTTAGACATCTTGGAGTAAAGGGGGATTAAAATTTATTTAAAATATCACAATGGAAAAAAGAACAACTTAAGAAGTTAGAAAAGTCACCACAGAACCAGACCATAAAAAAAAAAAAGTATTTACAGGAAAAACACACACATTCTCATGTCACACACACACACCAGAATCACTTTAGTAGTTGTAGCATGGTGAATTCACAGCTCACACCCTGAGAAGGGAAAGTTTACCACGCTCAGCCACCTTGGAATGACTGGTTTCAGGGTCACCGCTTAGAATGGGGGATAAAATCCAATTCTGGGAAATCAGACCCCCTGTTGTCCACCTCCCATTTCCAATTAGGGTTGTCCTCAAAGCTACGATTGTCGATGGGACAGATCATGAGTTTCAGTCTGGATGATAAGAGTTCACACCTTTAACGATCAGTCCTATACCTCACCAGTACACGTTTTAGCTTTAACATAGACATAACTAGGGTAGTGAAGATTTTTCACGGAAGGGGGGACCGGATACTTTTGGCACATCAAGGTCTGTTCACACCCTGCTGAGGTTTAGATACTGTACCCAGGGCTGTGGTGAATGACAGGTGTAAAAAGGGCTCAATGCAGTCACTGATGGAGGTTTCCCTCTGCTACTCCTCCTTTGGAGGCTCCACAGCCGGTTCCGTACTTGGGCTGGCTTCACTCTGCTCCGCAGGGGCGGCAGCTGGTTCAGGCTCAGCGGCAGGAGCTTCCTCGGGGGTGGTACTGGCTGCCTCGGGGGCACTGGCAGGCTCTGCTACATTCTCAGTTTGGGGTTCCTCTGCCTTGGCGGCACTCTCTTCCTTAGGGGAATCGGCAGCAGCCTCCTCCTCAGCAGCTGGGCTCTCCTCTGCAGCAGCAGCCACCGCCTCCTTTTTGTTTTTGCGGAAGGGCAGCTTGAACGGCTTCTTGAAGGAGAACTTCTTTTTCTTCCCCTGCTTTCCCGGGGGTTCCTCTGGCTTGGAGTCTCCATTGGCAGGCGGGGCTTGTTCAATAGTCTCCCCTTGGTCTTCACGTGCCCGTTTTCCTGTACAAAGAAAAGATGAGACATTGGTTTTATTTGGGGGAATTTTTTTTTTAATCTACCCCAAGCAATCTATTTCCCGGCACTCTGGTTTGTACAAAGGATGACATCAAAGGGGATCTTCAATGACCTCACCAGAAAAGATCCCCGACAATTACAATCCCCATAGGCACCCGATCCAAACATCTGATAGCCAAGCCAACCACACCCCTCCATCACATCAGCCACAAGACCCCCTCCCTCCCCCTCTGCACTCCAGCAGCGATCATTCTCCCATCCAACATCCCCCTCTATCCTTTCTATAGAATACAAGATAGCTCAGTACGATCACGTACGACCCTCTAAAAAAAAAAAGAAGGGCGACAGGCAATCGACGCGCCCAAAATAAAGCCAGACATCCACTTGTAGAATTGATCTGATCGGCTTACCTGCTCGGCTGCTTTGCTCGCTGTAGCGGTTTCTGCGCTCTGGTTCTTGGACTCGATGCTGCCCATGATTGACAAAGAAGTTAGTTAAAATGTATCCAAAGGAGGAGAGAGGGAAAAAAAATCCTTCCAGCCGCAGCTCTGTTTGCTATCCGCACGAACTACCCGCTGCACCGTCCTCTCGCTTTGCGCTTTTCACCCTCCCTCTTCTTTTTTTATATAGCTGTGTTGGGCAAGCAGGCAGCCAATCAGAAGCGAGCGCTGACCGATGAGAGGCAAGGCGCAGCCAATGGGGCCGGCGAGGGGGGAAGGGGCGAGGTCTTCGTGTTGCGCTGGTTACAGCGCTCATGGCTGTGCTAACGTGATATGGATAGATAAGTCGGAGAATGAGGGGAGACGGACAGACATACACTAAGATAGTAATAGACGGACAACACAGAGTTAATAAATAACTATCTTCTGTGCGGGCTCACTATAGAGGGGCCATGACAGAATTCACTCACTGATCAATTGAGAAGGAATTAGAACAAAACAGGAAAATGAGGGAGACGGAAACGTTGTATCTGAATTGTCTCATTGATACATAAAAGTTAGCAAAGTAACATGTCAGAAAAGTAACAGTTTGTTTGATTTGTTTGTCCCTTTCGCACGGTGCGATAATGTCGGGGGTCCCAGGAAGTTTTATGAGAAGGGACATTTACTGGGCGTCAGATAAGGGGCTGCTCCCCATCAGCAGTTCTAGGGTTAACTTGTGAAGATACGGGATGCATTCCTCAATTGTGGACATTTCCTGTGTGTTCTGTCTGTGGGATAGATTTACTGATCTAGGCTCTGTGGCTGCCTCGGTTTTTTTAAGTTTCACTCAAACTCAGAAGGTATAGATTAGATTCTCATCACAAGCTACATTTATAAATATATATATGTAAACCACCAAACCAAGACAGGAGGTGTTGGCTGTAATGTGCTAGTACAATGTTTCTCAACCTTTTTTTTTAGTCACGGCACCCTTTAAAACTATGTAAAATCTTGAGGCACCCCAGTCTAAAATTCAAAAAATGTTAATCTCAGATTGGGGTCTGGGATGGATTTTAAGAGGGGACCCCATGCAAAAACACAAAAGAGTGGGGTCCTCCCTTGACACCAGAGTCTCCTTTTCAAATCAGGAGCCCACCTTCACATCAGAGCCCACAGCTAAGTGCTCCCTTCACATCAGAAGCCGCCCTACATCAGGAGACCCCCCTTTACATCAGAGCCCCCATTTCACATCAGAGTCCCCCCATTTCACATGAGTTTTTCCCTTTCACATCAGAAGCCACCTTCAGATCCTAGTCTTCTGCCCCCCTTCACATCAGAGTCCTACCATTACATCAGCAGCTGCAGCATGGCAGAGGGCAGGAGTGGACGGAAGCAGACTTCTATCCTTTCCTGAATAGGTTCCATCCTCCTTGGATTATCGTCATTCGTCCAGCACAGCCTCATTCCTTTCCAGGTTGCCAGCACGATGGAAAGGAATTAAAATTTCGAGGCACCCGAGGGTGCCATTGTGTGAAAATTTCGAGGCACCACAGAGAAAGCCAAAAGGCAGTCCAGTGTGCCACGGCACCCTGGTTCAGAAAGGTTGTTCTAGTATACACAGCATATTAGCATATTCTGGCCAATTTACGTTACAGGTGTTCCCCTCCATCACTGCAATGTCAGCATTCTCCTCTGTTGCCAGTGCTTCCATCTTCTCCTGGTCTTCTTTTGGCTTAATTGGCTGGACCGGGATAATGTAACTCCTGAGCATGCGAATGGGAGTTACTTCATGTTCACACAGGACCCTGCTGGGATTGTGCGCTGCGTTGTGCATGCTGATAGGCAGGGGGGCAACAATTATGAGGAAAGAGACATACAGACTTTCTTCTGCCAGAAAACCCTACCTGTTTGCATTTGTTTTAAACACTGTATATAAAAAATGCTGATCTGATGTTCCTTAAACCCTTTCAGCCACCAATATAGGTCCTTGTGTTAAGATACTCATAAACATCAGATTCGTTGGTAATCCTATGTCAAAAGGACAACCCTTGCCTGTGCATTCATTTTCAAGGGTAGAATGGATTGTTCCCCAAAGATAGGCCCACACCAGGCAGTTATGTGAACAGAAGCTGTCACTGGAATGGGGTTGTTGGGACTTGTAAATTGACACCATTTCCCAGAATGAGCTGTTTCACAATAAATTACTGGAGTTGGTGTTTTACTCTGAGCTGAATTACTGCTACAATATCTGAAAAGATTTGAGTATTACTGGACCATGCACTTTTTCCATAGTCCAGGCAGAAGAAGAACCTGTTGCCGCTCAGTGACATGCGGTACCTCTTGTTCCGAGTGAGGCATTCCACAGCATCGCCCCCAGCACGCCCCGCCCCGCCGGCTGAAGCCCCACCCCCTGTCTGACTAAGCCCACCCACAAGCTAGTGGAAGGGAGGAGACAGGGAGGAGCCTCCCTGTCCCTCACTTGCTCCTCACTGCTGAGGCGCTCCGTCCATGACAGGTTACACAGCGGGGAGGAGTTCCTTGCTGTGTAACCTGTTATATGCCGATCTGAATGGAGATAAAGCTGTCAGCTTCAGACATGAAGCTGACAGCTTTTTCCTTCATAATTCTAGGTGAGGCTCTGCCTCACCTGCCTACCCTGACCGCACGCCCCTGCTGTCGCTAGCCGGGTGTCAAACAAGACCGCATGGAACTGTATCTCTGCTGGAGACCGATATGGTTGTAAATATACTCTAATATGGAGACTCACAAAAATTAGTTAGGACCACTACACAGAGGAGCCTTGGCGAGGCAGTGTGGCTTTTTGCAGGCTAGCTGGTAAGAGTGCTATGGGAAACCTTTGTGTTTTGAACTTAGACTCATGTCTCTTCCGTATTCCTGTATCCTAGGATGTCGCTCTTCTAGGGGGAAGATACTTATGGGGTGGGGTATGTGAGGGGCGAATTGCGTCCCAACGCTTCCATGGGAACAGGAGTTCTAGACACTAACATCCAGCGGGAGTTCTCGATTGGACATCACCAGGTACCGCACCGACTTTGCCCAGAAACTCTGAACTGCTGTCGCTTGAGCCAGTCCACAGATCACCTTACTTTTTGGACCATAACATCCAGGTGCTCAGAGCTACCGAGTAGTACTGTGGGATCCCTGCTGTTTGCCTGGGAAGTATCCCAAAATTGTATCGGCTCTGTGGGCTAGAGACATGGCATTGAACTGTGGCACCAGGCTGTCTGGGGATCATAGTGATTGTGCTCTTATCAGAGTTTGTATAGTATAAAAAAGGTGTGTTGATTCCTTAAAGCTCACTCTCTCTCTTGCCTCATCTGGTGTTTGGGGTAAACATGCTATAATACACTATTCTTTGTGGGTGTTCCAGTAAAGGGGACTGCTGTATCATGTCGGGGTACCAGGGCAATCATCACAGAAGGGTTCTGGGTTCTATGGAACGATTGTGGGGTGGTCCAGCCTTCATCGATGTTATCCATCACTTCCAGGTGTGTCGGATAGCTTGCCCCATTGAGCTCTGTGGTTTCATCCACCAACTGCTACGTCACCAGCAGTTGGTGGGTCACTGTTACGTGTCCTGTATACACAGCAGGCAGCGCGAGGAACCACACAGCTTAGAAAAAGGATGCTCCTGGTGCCTACATGGCAGCATATCATGGCTATGCTGCCATGATGGATAGGCACCACGGAAAAAAAAAAGAAAAAAAAAATGACGGTAAGTATCGATACCATTTTCTGTTTTCTGAATCACTAACCTGGTACAAGCAAGAAGCCAGTGAAGCCAGAACAAAGACAGAACACTAAATCGGCATATTTGCTTCAGGCCAGCAACTCAAAAAGCATTAAAGACTCTGGATCAGAATGACAACAAGGCAACTAGAATTTCCCTAGGGATATAATCAATGGCAGCCTATATATTTCTCTCTATACAGGTTTCCTTTAAAGTGATGAGCTGATAATGTAAAAATCAGCAAGATTTCATTACCCCTAGGCATGGGATGCTGATCACCTTATCCAGATCAACACTGTTATCTTCCTTAAGATAAGGCTAGCTTCAGGGGTGTCTTGCTACTAACCCTATCTTGCCCACTGGAATTATCAAAGCATGCATGTTGAAGAGGCAGTCATTTTATAAACTATCATTCTCGTGTTGGATCATGTCCAACCACTATCTAAAGTCTATGGATAGCTTAAAGTGTCCCTGTCAGGGGCTCAAAATGTTAAAAATGCACTAACCTTTGAAGAAAGCAGCTTTATACATATCTGTCCGTTGACCTGTTTGCTAAAACCTTACTCTGTGGCAAAAATTACAGCGCCAATCTAAATCCACTCTTTGGGTTGGTCCAATAGCAGGTCTCCCACTGGCTGCTGTGGTTCATCTTGCTGATCCCTAGTTACTGCAGGACACAATAGTAACTTAGGGGTCATTGAGAAAAACCATAGCGGTTAGCGGGCCAGTGCTATTCCACACACCCAGTGGTGTGAAATCAAATCAATGCAGGGAGATCTGCTACAGGCAAAGTTTTAACAAACAGGCCACTAGACCTGTATGTATAATGCTGATTTCTTTTAAGGTTAGTTCCTTTGTTACTTTCTTGATCCCCTAGCAGGGTCACTTTAAAATAAACCTATACGTTATCCATATTAGGCAATGAAACGAGTTAGAATTACAGGAGGGACCGGAAGCAGGCTGTAATTACATTCTCCATACTCCCTTGCCACCATACCCTGGACATCTGGATATGATGGCACATTTGACATTTCTCCTGCCTCCTGCCATGCTGGGTGTCTGAGGGGCCAATAGGCAGTTCTTCTGAGTGTTGAGGGAAGGGTTCAGTGGGCATAGCCCTGTGTAAGTTTTCACATGCTCTGCAAGTTGGAACTTCCTATTAAATCTTGAGTGGCATGATGGTGGATCAGATTTGGTGGAGAAAGCAGCTAATGTAAACACATTAAACTTAAAGTCCCATCTGAAACGTGATCCTAGTAAGTAAGATTTCCTCTGACTGGCAGTGCCGCGAGGAAAGATGGAGCCTGAAAGCTGGCTCCATGATGTTTGGCTGGCTTGATGCTGATTGGCCGGGAAGCCAGCACACTGCACAACGCTCACGTGATCAGCGTTCAGCCTGCTACTGTGCATGCACAGGATTTCTGAATGACAGCACTGGGCAGTCTGCTCATGCACAGTAGCAGGCTGAGCGCCGATCACGTGGGCGCTGTACACAGGAGACGTGGGGAGATCTTGGCGAGGGACTGGTACGTTAATGAATGCGATCTATGTGAGGGGAATTAGGTGCCGGGTCGTGTCACTACATTGTCAGATCTGTTTGGCCGGCCTCGATGCCGATTGGCTGGGAAGCAGGCTTTCCCGGCCAATCAGCATCCAGCCGGCCAAATAGAATGGAGTCGGCTTCCTGGGCAATCAAGAAGCCTTCCTGGCTTCCTGATTGCCCGGGAAGATGGCTCTATGCTACCGGAAGTGCCGACGAGGACCGAAATATAAGTATCGGTACTCGTACTCGATACCGAAAAACCGGTATAGGTGCACCCCTAGTAGGGAGGAATCAAAGAACGTTGCTGGGAAGGCAAGCATCTGACACACTCAGAGGTGTGTTGTATATGAGGATCTTTTGGGTGGCTCTTTTCAGCAACAGATGAAAGATTATGTGAACAAGGGTAACAGGGTAGCTTTTGTATTTGAAAAGTGAACACAGTCTGACTTTAAAGATGCCCACACAAGGCACACCAAGTTCACTTTAATTTAGCCCTTCCCAGCAGCATTCCTGAATGCATATTATTTTTTGGTACTTACTGTATTTTCATCCTATAATAAAAGCACATTCTATATTTTTTGTTCACCAGAGAAATTTGTCAGTTCCTCATGTTTCAGTTCACCTTTTGCTATCCATTTTTGCCACGTTTTATTAAAATATGCTACATTGGAGTTTGTCCAAAGTTCATGCAGGGTGCTGTAGTTAATTGGTGGATGGTGCTACCATACAATTTTCGGGAAATAAGAATCTTCACCAGCACACTTTGGTATATTGATAGCCTTGTCCTTTATTCACATAAAGCAACAGAAATCCAAAGCTTTTTTTACGGGGAAAGATTCTTATTTCATTATATTTATAAAGTGTACATGGGTTTTGAGATAAAAGCATAACTCCATGGATGATCTTTTATGAATAATTATATTGGTCCAGCCTGGCTTAATGTAGGTATCCAGCAGTATTCAATGTATGATTAATACTTACATTGTGCTTGACTGAATGTAAGTATTGAGCCAAGCAGGACCAATGTAAGTATCCATATCTGATATCCTGAGGGCTGCTAGGGATTTTTGTTTTTTTTTTCCCCACAAAGCACCTGGTACCTACAGTATATGTCTTGGGGATACTATTGGTAAGATTTTTGGACTTGCATTCCTGAGACTGAACACCTGCTGTGGCCATTATTAGGGTTTTTTTGCTCCATCTTTTTGATTTTGGATCTGTTACATAACAGGTGGAATGTGATGATAGAAATGCCCTCAAAAGTGGGCATCAACATCCAAAACTCTCAGGCAGAGAGGAACAAATTTGGAAATTAAGGCAGGCAGATTGTAATAATGGAATATCCAAGACATGTAAGAATCCAGGAGCTTAATCAACTCAATAATCTCCAGCAATAAACTAAATATAACTTCTGGGTGAGACTTGGATGGAGACTTGAATGGACCTTTAAAGAGCCCAATTGCTACTTTGTAACAAGAACCAGACCAATGTGTTCTGGAGCCACCATTTTTTCCCCCTTGGTATTCGAGGTATGTGTCAA